TATATCCGAGAAATCATCGAATAAACGGAAAACAGATCTCTGTTCAAGTTCCATTTCTGATTGCGTGTTGTGAATGAAAATTTCATAAACGTTTTAACGATGAGATTGTTTGGAGGATAAGCAGATTCGGTGTGTAATAGGATTATTCGAGTAGAATATCGATTATCCAAACAATAGGGGAACAAATTTAAATTTTTATTTAAAATTAATAGATTATTAGATTAAAAGTTCTTTTCATTCTTTTTTTTATATGTAAATGTTTATCTTCTTAAAACTTTCATAAATAGATTTCTTGGAATAGTGGATTATACATATGTTTTAATGATATATGATTTGTTTATATAAATATTAATTTCCAAAAATATTATTAGTTGGTAAGTTTCGTAAAGGGATTCTTTTATAATATTTTAATGTTAATGAAACATAAACCAAGTTGCAGCATTTACTCAATTTTACTCCTCTTGTAATAAACAATTTAAAAAATAAATAAAAAATAAAATTACTTGGAATGATAAAATCATAAAATTGCAATCTACAACAGACGTATCTAGTTACCAATATATATAATAATATGTTATATCATGAAGACATACAAATGGAATACCACACAAAAATTTTTCTTTTTTTAAAATTCAAACGATCATGCGTGATATAAAATTTCATTTACATAGATAAGTTCCACTATGAAATAATGAAAAGGTAAAAAATATTTTAATCTATTTCAAGGATCCTTTCTTTCAAAGATTTTCCGTAATAACGGAATATTCTAACACAAAGTGTCGCAAAATATTCTTTCACGGTGAAGAAAATCACTATTCACGGATGGAAGCAGTTAAAAGCATAGAGTCCCAAGGAATCGGATTACGAGAAGGCAAAGGAGAAATGGGACTTCCACTTCGTTGCCCGTGAATAGTTCCAGAGGCAAGGGCCTTAAGGTCCTCTTCTCAGACTCGATGAAAAAACAACAAAGCGTCTGGTGCTCACAATAGTGAGCCTTAGGGCCCCGTTTCTCTATTTGCGTTTACAATAAAGGAACAGAGAGGCCATGAAACGTGCGAGGGTGACCAGAACGAACTCGACATTCCCGGATCTCGAGGAAATCTTTTATTTTTGTTATTCATAAATACATACGTTCGATTATAAATGGATTGTACAGAGAAGAAAGATAAATTTTTCTTTTTTTTTTCTAAAAGTGAAATAAAATTTTTTTAAATATCGAGAAATTTCTCAGTTTTTATATTAATGAATAATCTTTTTAATCGAAATATTGTATCCATTTATTTTATTCTTCTTTCGACAAAATTTTTTATCTTTTAAATAATATAATTAAATCGATATTCTTGATGTCTTTTTATAATAATCAAACTGCAATATTTCTCATAAAAATTTTTATAATATATAATTATAATTAATTTTAAATAAAAATTTAATTTAGTAAGAATAAAATATTTAATATACAATCACAATAAATCTTTAATATTTTTTTTTATTGCAATATATATAAATATAGCATAAATTTTCACCTAATAAAACAAATAATTATGAATAGAAATAATTAATCCACAAAATCACCAATTTAAATGATCATATAATAGATCAATTAACCAATCTTGCAAACCAGTACTATCACTTTTTTTTTGTATCTAATTTCAATTAATCTCTCCCAACAATTTTCCAATGTAATAAACCTAGATGAATAAACCAGTTTCGGTGTTATTGATTCAAGGATTCAACGACCTCCAAATCCAAAAATTCACACGATCGAACACGTCCCAACATATTTGGACAAAACCACTCACCGAGCCCAAGCATTTAGTCATCTCGTCGAAAGAGGAGGATATACACAGAGGTGGAGATACTCTCTACAAGATTCAAGAACCCACGGCAACCCACGTTCATGCCGGCTTACGTAACCAACACGGAGCCGAGAAACTTTTTCTTTAAATCAATTTCAGCGGCAGGCTCCTCGTAAAACCCACGCGCGGCCCAGGTTTCCTCTCGTCGTTCTAATTGAGACCAGCGACAGGTAACGATACGAGGAAGAAACCTGGCGAGCAAGGAATGAAGAGGTAAACGGCACGAAAATGGGCAAACAAGAAGCCATCCCCTCGTTTTCGTCCCCTCGAACCTCATTGCCGGCAATGACTAGCAGATATAACACGTTCCAGGTAGACAACTGTTTAGGGGAAGGATAGTCACTGGACAAACGAGCGCAACGGATACGACGTACGATCGTTATTGCGACACGGACCACGATGATCACGGTACAACAACAGATCTTGGTGTCCACTTATGGTGGACTGCGATCAGTTAAGGACGAGAGATCGTGATATCCTTCGATGAGTTTGGATCTTTTTCTTTTTCGAGGTAAATCGATTCGTTTCTTAAATTTCTTTTGGAATACAATTTCTTTTCGTAATAGAAATAATAATAAACAGTCTGTATTGACACAGTGAGAGAAGAGTGAGCGGTTGAGAGAAAATAAATGATATTTGTTGTTATGGATATGGACGAGTTTTGATTGATCCTTTAACACTGTTATTATAATTATACGTGTATTATTATTATCTACTTATGATAAATCTCTTTCAAATTTGTTGATAAACATTTAAGTAAGACCACTTTAAATGTATATACAGATATTATACCGATTTTGAAAATGGCTAAGAAAAAATTAAAAATCTGATCGTTCCAACGAATTCCTTCCATTTTTAACGAATAAAAACTTATCGAGGAGTGTATTTTGATATATTGGAGAAAAATATAGATTTTCCATAAATTAAATAAGCATATAATGCTACATTATACAAAAACTAAACAAAGAACATCCATCCTAATATACCGAACGTGTAGACATTGCTAAATAAATTTCTATATCCATTACCATCAGGAGACAGAAACTACTGTTACTACCCCTCCATGTAGTATTTCAACGCGTTTCCGACAAGAAGAGCGAAAAGAAAAAAGGAAAAAGAAAAAAAAAAAAAAAAAAAAAACGAAAGCCGGAAACAAAGCTCATTTTTGAAAAAAAAAAAAAAGAGAGACAGAATCAGTGAAATCCGCGTCGAGGGATCGTTTGCTTTCATTTAACCGCGGATTCCTATGCTTTTTTCGCGGGCGGGAAAGCCAGGCGCGTAAATAGTCATATCTAACATTTATCAGGTGACACGCTCGTTCTGGCCTCGTCAAGATCCATTTGCGGGCACAGGGATGCACAGGAGCATTACCGTGTCGCGATGTCAAATACTAACGGCGGAGAAGCGAGTGGTGTCATTACCGGACCTCATAGCGGCAGGCCATCGCATCTCCGCTACCCACCCTCCTCCCCCCGTCCTTCTCGTGGCCGTATTTCTCCGTT